TGTAAGTGTGATTTGCTACCGAACTTTGTGTTCGCTGAAACACTGGGGTTTGAAGTACCGCTACACCAGTGTGTGATTCGTTTTATCCTGGGAGGAAATAATCCATTACCTTGGGTACTAGGAGGGGATTAAATTCCTTAAGGAAACACTGTAAATTTAGTGGGCTCGAATTAATTACTGTTTCATTACGTTAACTTATATTTTGCAGAATTATTATTTATAAATACAGCAATATTGGCGGGAATAACAACGACAACTGGTATACCAATTTACTTGAAATAGCCAATAATATTAGTTACTCAATGCCAGAAAACTATTAATTCTACTCTTTTTTATCTTTTACAGCTAAGGAGAATCTCCAATTCATTCTCAACTGGTTCAAGAAATTCCCCCAATATAGAAACTCGGACGTGTACTTAGCTGGGGAGAGTTATGCAGGTTAATATATCTGAACTTAACTTGCCTATGTCTATTTTGCTTTTTCGTTGCAAAGATTTGTCAACTAATATGTTTTTTTGTTTTTAGGTCACTATATACCACAGCTTACAGTATTGCTGCTTGATTACAATAGAAAGCCCAATGTTAAACCAATCAAGCTTAAATCAATTGCAGTAATGTTTACATTAACCTTAAACTACTTGTTGATAATTGTGGCACATTCAAATCTTCACTTAATAAAATGAATTTTGCAGCTGGGGAATCCACTACTAGATCTTGAAATAAGCGTGAAGTCTTCTGAATATATATGGTCACACGTTGCCATTTCTGATGAACTGCTTACAATGAGAAGAAAAATCTATAACGAAACGAGGTTCTTGTTGGAATCAATACATAATAATGTATCTAAGGAGTGCACGAAAGTTTGGGAACTCACAGACGAGGAGATGGGAAGTGATATAGATATGGGAGATCTGCTCGCGCCAACATGTGTATCTTCTGGTACAGCAAGACAATTGGGAGCCCTTGCCACAATACATGGAAAGGTAGGAAATGGAATTGTTTTTAGGACATAATTCAACTTTTTGCAATTGCAGCTAACCTTTTGCAGCTATTCTTTTGACAGTTTGTTAAGCATGAAGTAGGAATAGTTGCAGATCCATGCCTTACTGATAGGATAAATTTGTACCTAAACAAGCCAGAAGTTCAAAAGGCGCTACATGCCAACACCACTTACCTGCCATATGCCTGGGATTTTTGTTTGGGGCTAGTTCTCTTCTTCCCTTTACTTTCTATTGCGCTATAGTGTGTGTATCGTCTTATCTAAAAGCTTGAACTGTTAGGCAGGGAATGCTTTGCTTGTTTATTTTATGTGCATTTATAAGACAAGTATGCTAAAATCTCTGAAAATGCAGGCACCTTCACTATCGGAGAGAAGATTTAGCTGTAAACACTATACCTCTACTGTCAAATATTCTAAAAGAGAATATCCAAGTTCTGCTTTTCAGGTAGTTCATCACTAGTATACTCAACTAGGCAGTCCTGGTGTTTTCAATTTGTTAAAGCTCCTCCTCTGTAGTAAGATTGGGCATGTCTTTGTTTTTAACAGTGGAGATCAAGATTCAAAAATCCCACTGACCCAAACTAGGAAAATTGCTAAACTGCTTGCTCGAGATTTAAAGCTAGTTGCTTTAGACAAATATGGTCCTTGGTATGATGGATTGCAGGTATGTCCCCTCTACTATTTAGCCTTTGGTAGAAGGTGTGTCCACATCCACAGTTTTCAATTTGGATAACATAGCAAAAAATAAACACATTTTAGAAACGTATATTTATAACAATAGCAAACTTTTCGCTAGCATTATATGTAATCGTATGAATTCCTATATTCATGAAGGACGTGTAAGTAGCTAAGCAAAGAGAGGAAAGAAGGAATTACATAATCAATGTGTTCCTTCTTAAACTCACCAGTCTAGTAATATCGAAAAGAAGATTTAATGAGGAAATCCAATTTCTTTTTGGGGAAAATTTTTTTATGGTCTAATTGATGAATTAAGCTCATCTGCCTTCTCATTTCATAGAAATAAGGTAAGCATCCTAGCTCAGGAAACAAATTAATACGTTGACTTTGATAGGGAGATGAAAAAGTGTTCATGTCTTTACCCCACTAACTTTAAATCTGTGATCCATATGTAACGGTTCAAAGAAACTTTTCACATGGTGTAATAGTGTTTGCTTTGGGCCAAGCTTGCATGGTTTTTTTCAAAAGGCCTCACATGGTTACTGAAACCTAAAGACTATGTATGCGTTTTCAAAGCTATTGATAAAAGTCGTAAACTGATCCATAGACGGGCGAAGGCTCTAAGCCAAGCCCCCAAAACCATGCTTGTCCCCTCAAACCATTAACTCTGATATCAGTTGTTCGGCTAAAACGACACAAATATACTCTTAATATGATATGACATTGTTTGCTTTGTGCCAACCTTGTACGATTTTTCCCAAAATGTCTCACATCATTAAGAGTATCCAACGAGACATTGATAGGAATGCCCCCGTAAGGGGTTGGTCTTAGCAGAATGTGCCCGTAATTGGCGGTATTAAAAAATAGCCTTCGGTCCCGTGCACACGGTTATTGTTCTTCATGAATTTCTTTACCGGATTGGTAGATTTTATGTTAAATTTACTAAGACAAAATGGCAGGACTTTTAGCTATAAATATTATATTACCCCATAAGTTTCAATTTAGATAAGGTAGTTTGACTCGCCATGGAGTATTTTAAAAAGTGAAACTTGTGGTCTATTTACAGGTAAAGGTTTTGCAGGGCCATGACATTTGTGGCTATAAAAGCTTCTCATTAAGGGTAAAATGGGTAAAATGAAGAGTTTAAAGTTGAATTATTTTCAATTGCAGAAATATGTAATTCTTTTTGGAACAGAGTGATGAGGAAAGTGTGTCATCAAAATTGAAACAGAGGGAGTATTATATAGCATTTGGTACAAAATCCTATCATGTTGGTATCTCTTTGTTGAAGCCTACACAAGTGAAAGGACGCGGGGGCCATTTATTAAATACAACCACTTACTAGGACATTCCGTTAAGACCGGCCCTATGCAGGGCTAGGTCACGCAATTTTTACGTTTCCAACTTCTAATAAGTAGAATTTTTTTCTTTTACTTTCTATGTAGGACTTTATTCACACAGCACCATTTCTAAACGGGAATCGAACGGTTAATACATGTGTGTATATATAATTTGTTGATCAATTGCAGTTGGGAGGATGGAGTCAATCATTTGGAAGGCTAAACGTTACATATCTAACATTCGCTACAGTTAGGGGCGCAACTCATGAAGTACCCTTTACTTCTCCTTCACAAGCTCTTACACTTTTTAGAGTATTTTTGAGAGGACATAAGGGACAGCAAAATTTGAGCCCACAAGTTGCGTAACCCTATGGATCTGATGTTCTTTTCCCATATTCTCAAGACTTTGATAACGGATTCTCAAGTTTTAATCATAATCTTTATCGTACTCTTTTTTTAATCTTATATTTGCCTAAATATATTACGTAATTAATTTGGGTTACTAGGCAATGAGGTAATTATAGCCATAGAAACCTTTCACGTTCTATTCGCCTACAAAATTATTCCAGGCGTTATAAGTGTACGAGATCAGATATAATAGGTATATTTTTATCCTAATTCACATCATGATGCAATTACCTATGTTATGAACTTACTCTATTCAACCTTATCGCAATCTTAAAATTCTATTTTTAAGTTTGAATTAAGATATGTAAATAGTGTTTAATTGTCGATCAAACAACCAAACAACTAAGTTCAAGAATGAATAAATAATTCAATGTGTTAAATAAAATGAGAATTCTAATAATATTAGTATTCTTGTTTGATGTTCGAAAACTAATTAAAATACCGAAATTAAATCGAATCGAACCAAAATTGAAAAGAACCGAGATGATTGAGAGTGTTTGAGAAAGTCTAATTTTTGTTATACACAAGAATTTGCGAAAATTAATATATACAAATTTTTTTGGGATAAGTCAAATCATTGACGCCCCTAGTACAGTTACAAATCTAGTGAGTGTGGTCTCTGTTTGCATTATCCTACAAAATATACTAGCGCCGAGTAAACTGAGCAAATATAGTATGTCCTTTCTAACATACTTGTCACTTTAGCGTTTTGTATCCCCCTTAAACATTAATAATGGCCGAAGAGTTATTTGATTAAATTGATTTTATTTATGCTTTAACCTTTCAATCTTCTATTTCTTTTTAGAACACTTATTATGAGTATTCAGATATAATTAAGAAAAAATACAATTAAGAGAGAGAAAGACCAACTTCCCTCTAACTCCGTACTAACCAAACAGTCACTCAGAAATGACTACGTCCCCACTCCCAGATAGAGAGCCCCCCATCGGAATACCACCGGAACCCCCCGATATCCCAACTCTTGACCCAAACTCCGCTATGGATGAGGACAACCCTGTGAAGAATTCCTTCAAGGAAGTCCTACTAGGAAAAAATTTGGTTTCTTCCACCAACTATGAAGCATACCAATCATTGCCGCAAAACTAAGTTTTTGTGCTAAACCTAGGAAATATCCTAATTCCACTGTCGAATGAAGATAAAATCAGACTCTACAAACCTTGAAAATACTCTTTAATAATCAAACTATATGGGGAAAATCCCACATCATGTATTGAAGGCTAAACTCGCCAATCCGTGGAAACCAATTGAACCACTCACCCTAATTGATCTAGGGTGGGACTTCTTTATTGCCAAATTCAATACGGAAGAAAGCGTGAGCAAAGTCCTAAGCGAGGGGGCATGGTTTGTAGCTGGTCACTTTCTATCAATCCATATATGGGAACCCAACTTTATACCAACAGAATCGAAATTATACATAACAACGGTGTGGATAAGGCTACCACAGTTTCCAACAGAATTCTATGACAAATCAGTACTGGAGCAGGTGGGCAACACAGTTGTCACGACCCACAAATCCCACCACAGGCGTCATGATGGCACCTCGTCTCTAAGACTAGGTAAGCCGATTTTAATTATATTTTTGGAACCATTTTTTTATAAAATTAAATAAGTAATCAAAACTAACAGCGGAACAAATATGAATGTACAACCTCCCAAGACTGGTAGTACTGAGTTACGAACTCTAACTGAATACATGGAATGATTACGAGGACCGAATATACAATACTGTTTGATTAAAAATTAATAGTACAATGAAATGAAAAGACTCCAAGGGGCTGCGACGACCAAGCAGCTCTACCTTGAATCCTTACGATCCCGCTTTAACTCTTCTCAAGTCCAATAACTCAAATACCTAGCTCAGCACAAAAATGTGTAGAAGTGTAGTATGAGTACACCACGGTCGGTACCCAGTAAGTATCAAGACTAACCTCAGTGGAGTAGAGACGAGGTACAGTCAAGACACTCACTAGTCTAATAGCATGTGCAATATAATATACAAAATAATAGGAAGCAGATAACAATAAGGAAAATATAAAACAACCAGTAATATGCACAACAGACAACACGGATACCATTAATATCGCTCAACAATTAATAAATACAATTACACACAATAAATCAAATCCTTCAAATAAATGTCTTTCACACATAATTCTTTCAAATAACTCTCTTTCAAATATAATTTTCTCAAATAATTACCTTTCAAATATAATTCTTTCATATAATACCTTCTACATAAAAATCCTTTCAAATAAATATTTTGAATATAATTCTTTCAATTAAAAAGTCACCATGTGATACCTCGTTTCATAATCATAAAAATACGGGTCTCAACCCATTTTCATATTTTTCGTAAACACAGGTCTCAACCCATTTTTTCATATTTCCACGGCACCTTGTGCCCAAAATTAAATCATCATATTTTCCCAGCACATCGTGCCCTCATTTCATATCCCAACTGCACGGACAATTCACGTACCAAATATAATTATCATTTAATCATAGCACCTCGTACCCACAATTCATATCACAACTGCACGAACAATTCACGTGCCAATATCCTCATTATTTACTCATGGCACCTCGTGCCCATATTTCATTTTATAATTCGCATGGCAATAGCCACAGGCTCTCAATTTAAACATAAATCAGATTGTCATCAATTTATCAACAACAAAAAAAATTACACAATGTATAAATATAAACACAAGAATATCACAACATCATATGAAAATCATCAACCTCACAACCCCACATCATCACATATCGTCCCTGACAATAGCCAGACTTATCGCT